TGTGGGCCATACTGGCCTGCTACCTAATTTAAAGTTTTACTGGAACAGAAACACAATCGTTTGTGTATTGCCTATGGGTTACTTTTGAGCTACAATGACAGGGACGAGTAGTTGCAACAGAAAATGTATGGCCCTAAGCCTTATATAGTTACCATTAGTCTCTGTACAGAAAAAGTTGGGGCACCCTTGCACTAGAAGTTCAGAAAAAAGAGGTATGACTTTAATATTGACTTCCATCATGTAGTATTTTCCTTGTGCAGCAGTATCAACACACTCTTGGATATGTGCTACCTAGGTAACAGAATTCAATAAATACTCAAACCCACATAGCCAAAAGACGGCAATGACATCTCTTATTAAACTGCTCAGTTTTAATTTTACTTTTTAAAGTAGTAAATTTTACATTTACTAATTTATGTTTAACTTCTGTACTCATCTCCCAATTGTCACCAAACTATCATTCATGGTAGACTACAGCATACTTCCCTGTATTTCCTGCCTACAATGAAAGATCAATACCATGGATAGAGAAGGCAATCCATCAATTTTTAGTTAATTAATCAAATTAAATACTGTATACAAAAGGTGTTTGAATGTAATACATTATACAACTATAAAGCTGTCCTTATTTTAACAGTACGTCTCTGACAATTCTCCAAATGACTTGAACCATATGGTCCTACTGGACACCAAGAATCCTCAAAAGCCCTGAGCCTAACTCCCTAAACACCACTATGCAGACTACTCTATGTAACTCTGGTTCTGGAACAGCCCAGCTTCAGTCAGGCTTATCACAAAGCTATTTCTCTAGAGAGAGAGAGAGAGAAAGTGGTAGTAAGTCAACTATGATCTCTCTCCTGCCACTTTGACAATCTGGGATAGGATACCTGGCCCAAGGTTAGGGATTTACTATGTCCAAGAACAAACTGTTGGAAGAGTTTGTGGGGAAAGAGAGATGAATCACACATACACATTTTCTCATCTAATCCTCAACAATCTCCTGTGTTAGAATCACTTAATTATTTCATACCAGGAACATTTTGACATTTTACATGTTTTACAACCCTATAAAACTAATAAACATATAGCTTTCCTTCATTACAAAGTAATGTTGCAACATACAACCCTAAGCCCATCCCTAAGCCTCACCAAAACCTGGATTCAAAACTTCAAAATACTGAAGTCACCTGCAGACCCCAGCTTCAGAATCTTTGATCTGGATGATCCCTAAAATTCCTTCCAGTCCCAACATTTTAAGTATTCCAAAGTGCTGGCAATCTCACTTGGTCTACCTACTTACTTGTTCTTCCCCCTTGGAAGGGGATAAAATACCTGTAGGCTATACAATACCAGGTAGTGGTGGCTGGAGTTATTGTCACTGAGGCAGGAAAAAAACCTTCTTCTCTCAGACTTGCCCTCAAGTGGAACCCTTCTGCTCCTGCCCCTATGCAAGGAAACTCATTAGAACAAATCCCACCCCTAAATCCTGCGATCTAGCTGCCTCACCAGTGACTAGAAAAGTAAATCAGTTGGACTAAAAAGGAAGAGTAAGACACCCCTGGCTTTTCTAAGTCCTTACTATTCAAAATGTGGTCTGCAGACAGTTACAATAGCATCACTTGGGAGCAGATTCTTAGGCCCCGCCCCAGACCTACTGAACCAGAATCTGGAGTTCAACAAGGTCTTCAGGTGAGTCAGAGACATTCTGTGTTTGTGATGCACTCATCTAGGGGTTAAACTAGCACTTTCTCACAAGGTGGCCAAAAGCCACATGTGCCTAATTGAATTTAAATAAAA